TCCTGTTAAATATTTTGGCCCACTCATTCATTCATACTATCTTTATGCTGTGGCTCTCAAGGGCAGGCACCGACCGTGACTGTGGTTCGGCTGGGGTCTGTTTGTGTCAAGCGAGCGTGGCACGACCAGGCCTAAGCGATGTTGCCAATAAAACATTCCAATATTTCTCCTAATTTTTTAATATCCTGGTTGTTGGGAGGGGGGGGAGGTGTCCATCAAAACACACCTCAAAGAAATAAGGGTCCAGAGTGTGAGGAGTAGATTCAGGTGGCTCAGGATGAAAGCCAACGATGGGCTTGTGTCAACGTCATAATAAATCTTCGGGTTCCATAAAAATTCAATGAATTCTTTACAAGCTGAGCAATTATCAGCTTCTCAAAGACTGTTCCATGCAAGCAGTTCATGACTTACTTAATCCGCTACTTGGATAAAGCGGGTTTAATTCATGTTTCACATACTTTGGGTTATTTCCCTTAAAGTACAGAGACTTCAACCAAAAACAAGAGAACAGCAAACTGCCAGTGCAGTAGCAAACTCTCCTCATATTCCGATCCTGGGTTTTCTGAGATCAACTATCCTGACTTAGGCTTCCTGGTCTTCCTCAGTACCTCCAAACAAATTAATAAATAATACCATGAAACAGATCACTTTTATTTAGAACCTTGTCCTTTGCAAATCATCACACCCGAATACTTGGGTAGGCAGAAATCATGAAGACGTGGTTTAAATTGTGGAATGCTGTTCTGTTTCCTTCCTACAGTCTCTCTACATTTCCCAGAGTTATCACGTATTATTCGAACTGAAATCACTTTGAGGTTAGTACATGCAAAAACCTAATACATTCATTGCTTTCCAACAGCATCCCACTTCCTCTTTCACTACGAATTATGCCCTGATACAAACAAATAAATAAGTCAGCTACACACAAAGTAACAGCAAATATGACGGTACAGAATCACAAGCATGTTTGTATAGCACGTTTTGTACAGTGCAGCTATTATAACGAATCACAATAGATTTGCTCTGATATAAAACATCTTCCTAGTTTACTGGAGGTCACAAAGGACAGCAACATCAAACTGCATTGTGTTAACACATGTGGACTAGTAGAATGACACGAAAAAAGTAACTTCACGATTTCAATTATCTTTCTCTAACTAAACACAAATTATATCCCAAAACGAACCATGTGGTAACAGCGCCTTTAACAACACACAATGTCAGACGCAATCCTGTATCAGTTTCATTTTTCTTGTCCACGACTTTTAAAGTAAGCAAACGAAAATAAAGGGACAGCAGTTAACAATTTAAACAAACAAAGTTTTGTTACCAATTTTACGCAATCTGCGCCAGCCATGTAACCCTACGAAGCAATAATTTCAGTGGCTGTTACAACTTTAAACTGGTTTCGGAGCTTTCTCCTACAGAAAGCGCCACATTAGTTCAAGTTCACGGTCATTCGAAGAGATCGCAGCACATGTCATTACGCCCATGCATAACTAGCTGCTCCCTGTGAGCACATTATACACTAATCGATTAAAGAACTGCAATGTAACTCAAAGGAGGGTAGCCCCTCTTGAGAAGATGATAATCGATCATCTCATCTGGAATCCCACGTCGTTCATGTAAACAAATTGTTTTAACGAGCCTGCCACCGGACTCTATCCGGGCCATGTGTCCACACGCCCACAAACAACTTCTTGAAAGTGATTGTAACAGATCGAAGACTGGAATAGTACAAAAGAAGTGGTCCCTAAAGTTATTTCATAGCCTCTCTTTGATAGCTCCCCATTAAACGGCATCCTGCTCCCCTCCTTGTCTAATTCCGCAATCACCTTCCACTCATCTGGCATTGCCGTACCTTCACACAGGCTTCCTGTCGTGATTAGTGTTCGGCCACGCACGACTTCCCAGTCCAGGACAAAATTTTATAACTGCAACTTTGACGGATGCCAGGCTTTATTCTTATCTTATCGTTGTGTAGTGTCACAACAGGATTTGCCAATTAAATGCCGTGTATTTGACTTCTGATTCCTACATCCAATCTCCAATCTTACGACGTGATACTCAAATAGCATCTTCAATCACACCAACATTCACGTCGAAAATTTTAATGGTCGAATGTCTCAGCCGAGTGGTTGGTAAGCCTGCTTCGTACTCTGGGGATCCCAGGTTCAAATCTCAACGCGGAGATCGGCTATCCTGATACCGATAATACCTCAAATTAGGTCACGACTGCCTCCTTCCATGTTCCTTCATATGCATTACTCAACTCTTTATACGATAACTAACTAGATGGCTTACCGAACCCGAGGTTCATCACCGAATTAACCGAAGCCCTCCACCGGACCCTGTCCTGGGCCAACAAAATCCAGTCTCCTTCAACTCCTATCTCCCATAGATCCCGCCTGAGATTATCCTCCCATCTACGTCTAGGTCTCCCAAGAGGTCTCTTCCCCTCAGGCTTCCCAAATAGTGGACCCAACCAACCAGATGGCTTACGGAACACAAAGGTTCATCACCGAATTAACCAAAGCCCTCCACCGGACCCTGTCCTGAGCCAGCAAAATCCAGTCTCCTTCAACTCCTATCTCCCATAGATCCCGCCTGAGATTATCCTCCCATCTACGTCTAGGTCTCCCCAGCGGTCTCTTCCCTTCAGGTTTCCCAACCAGTACCCGGTGCACCCCTCTTGTCCCATCCATGCGCGCTACATGTCCCGCCCATCTCATTCTTCTCGACTTAATCACCCTGACAATACTGGGGGAGCAGTACAGATTTTTAAGCTCGTCATTGTGCAGTTTTCTCCACGCCCCATCGTCTTCCCTCTTAGGCCCAAATATCCTCCTCAACACCCGATTCTCAAACACCTGCAATCTGTGTTCCTCCCTCTGAGTGAGAGACCATGTTTCGCACCCATACAAAACAACAGGCAAGATTATTGTTTTGCATACTTTAATTTTCAGGTTCTTAGAAATCAGACGGGAAGACAAAATATTTTGAACTGAGAAGTAGCAAGCATTTCCAGAATTTAATCTCCTCCTAACTTCCTCACAAGTATCATTTTGATTTGTTATTGTTGTTCCCAGATATTTGAACTTTGCGACACTTTCAAAGGACTTATTAGCCACCCTAAGATAATTCTGCCCGCCTGTCTTCTGACGACGAGATACTAACATGTATACTTATGATAACAGCACCAACAAACCAGAGTCGCGACATCCCCAATTTCGCTTACCTTGTCCAGCAGATAGAAACATCGCGAAGTATCTTCCAGACGTTCTCGTGTGTCTTCCAGGCGCTCGCTAAATCCCCGGAGGTGCTGCTTGAGCGAGCGAGCAAGTTCCTTAAGCCCCGAAGAGCTGGAAATGGACCCCGAATTTCGAGCGTCATTGCCGCACTGACCTGCCTCCTCCAGGAGGTCGCTACCTTTGTCCAAGTGGCGCTGTAACACAGATACAGGAACAATTGTGAAAAATTCCTACCGGTGACGTATCGATTTGTGGTCCTACGAGCGATTACGCAACGCTAATCATGGTAACAGGCGATTCAACATCTGGCCCAGTTCACCCTGACTTATCCTGAACAGAAGGCAATCAATCAGTGCCTATGCTGTATGTTCAAATGTTTCTTGATTCATTGTTTCATCGTCTATGACCAATCCTGACCGTCGTGACCCCTTTCTGGGCTCTCCTGCGAAAGTACCACGGTGGTCATTAATTTTAAAGAAATATAATTTACAAGAGAAACACTGTCTTACGTAACTTTTAATTTCTACGTTTACAAATCATGTGTTCTTAAAGTCCTTTCTAACAGGTGTAAAACCACACGATTCAGATAGGTAACCAGGTGGACAGATTTTGATTAAATGTTGTATGGACGTTATACCATTGGAGGCTACTCAAACTTCAGCTTTTCAATTCCGTGCAGTCGGCAATACCAATAAGCCGGACGAGCAAATTTGTGAGGTAGGAGTGACATTAGAGGCTCTTTGGTGCAGGAATTCTTCGTACAACTTCAAACAACAATAAAAAGGACTTTGTCTCGACCACGGGAATTCGGTTCCATGGCCACTTACGCGTGCATAATTTAAAAATGCAGTTTCTACATCAAAGAAAATACCTCGCATCGCCATTACGAAAATCGTCTGGTTAATGCTATTCAGATAAGCTATAGTACGCTCATCTGATTATCATACAAAACAAACAAACGCACTGAACAAAATGCAGTCGCGGAATGTTAGAGCAGATGGCGCATGAAGGTTGTCGCTGTGCTTTAGTTAAACAAGCCGCCTGAGGTTTGCAAAGACAATGAAAAACTGCGAAGTTATCAGACATAATAGCCTATTGAAACCTGCGCTGTTTGTCCGAGAACGATCTCTGCCTTGCAGAAACTATAATAACTTAAGTCCAACTTCAGTGCAAATTCCAATACGACTAAAATAAAATAGGCCTATCACAATCACACAAATCACTCGGTAAACCATTGTCTTTCTATAAAAGTTAGTACTCGTTCAGCTGATCAAAAGGTTCCCCGCCTTTTACATTAGCCGAAATTTCATCAACGCATTCACAACAGCTCACCACTGAATTCTACCCTCAGTCAGATCACTCCAGTCCACAATGTTTCGTTAACATCCATTTTAATATTATCCTCCCACCTGCGCCTAGGGTTATAAAATGGTATTTTTCGTCAAGTTATTTTGACTAAAATATCTCCCAATCTCCCGTTCATCTCATTCTCCTTTATTTAGTCGTATTATTTTTGTAAAGGACGCCGTTTGCTGACATCTCAAAAATGCTTACTCATAACCCTGAAAATGGAAGAAGTAGGTGCAACATCCCAGAATAAAGGCGCCTTCTGTAGAAGTTTTGTTTGCAAAAGACGTTTTAAAGTTTGTATTTTGCCGCGTGTAACATTTTGAGCATGGCTAAACGTATTTTAACCCAATTTTAATCTGGGAAATTTTACTCAGAATCTTAAGTCATATTCCAGTTTTGTTTGAAATCGGACATAAACATCATGAAGCACCTTACGCATGCGTTTTTGCGAATGGGCGTGGTTGTGTGGGGAATCCCCATGTTACCATGGTTACGTGGGGAATCCGCCGGCGATAATCCCAGCCAGCCACACCCAAGAGAACTCGCTCCATTAGCAGTAACATGAATCCTAGATTGACCGACGCATCAGAGCACAGTAATAACATAAATGAGATGACATACGGTACTAAGTACGTGGCACTGAGTGACGTGGTACATGAAAGCTATAATAGCAACACAAGTATGCCAAGCCACTTCTGGGCGTTGGCGCCACGTATACCTGTGGGTGTTTGCAGACCTGTTAAAAGAACGACGACATATTCACTGTCGTAAGAACGTCAGATCTCTCAAGAACGAGGTATAGCACGTCAAATGATGATAATAACGTCCAGAATCTCATGTCTGATTCTCTACATTTGTCCACTGTTCGTGGCTAAGCGACAGTTTACATTTACAAAATTTTTGCAGAAATTTTCGATCACTACTTGGCTTTGCCGTTATACGAGCCATCGGCTTCGTTCATGAACAGGACAATGAAAGCTTCAGACATGAGTAACATTGGCGTCAGACCGCTCACTATAAAAAAAACAGTTCTGTTGTTGGGGCAGCTGGCTGAAATAGTTTGGGGTGGCAGCATCCGGTCTGTCTGCCGGCTGTTTCGCGTCACAGCCCATCCCCCACGTAGGTACCACACCTCTTCTTTAATCTTCCGTCCAGTAAGAAAATCCAGACTGTCCCCTCATGACATTCGTAAGCCAGTGTGATAGACAACAAAGCCGCGATGTTTATTCGTAACAAACGGCCTCCTTCCAAGCAACATGAAATATTCATTTAATAAATTTTATCGAGTTTCAAGAAAAATGTGAAAGGAAGAAAATATTTATAAAGTGCGCCTCATTTACCATTAGAGCTATTTAGACGTGTCTTACATGAAGAATTCCTTGATGTTGTATATAGTAAGAATTCACATACCAGTGCCCATAATAAATGGATAGTAGATTATAGTCTTTCTCTCTAATTATTTACGAACGATCAGGTGCTGTTCACTCTGTATATTTCGCCATGTTTCTCTTTCAGAACACGTTTTTCCACGAAGAGCCGATTTGTGTAAGCAGTTTTAGAGTCTTAAGAAACAGCACAAAACGTCAGAGCATATTTATAGTTGCAGAGTTTTTCAAATCCTTAAGGATTATTGCTGACAGAATCTTTGAAACACTTAACCAGTTCTTCACTGTATGCGTACAATCCGTCAGCGTGCTTTTCTTTGTAATATTGACAGGACACAGGAAATACAGTCCTGAATGCTCCAGAAATAAGATGAGGCGCCTTAGAAAAAGCTCGCAAACTGGCGCCATGATAATCTCTGAGGTCACCAAAATTACGCTCAAGACTTTCATTTTTCAGTGAAACGTCAATTCCGAGTCGTAGTAAAGGAAATTCTAAAACGAAAGAACGCTGTAAGATCAGTCTATCGATAAAACTTTTGACACATTGCTATGCCTCAATCTCCTTGATGTAGTATTAACGAAGTTCCATGAAACTTTTATTGGATTTAAAAGTGAAGTACGCGTTTCTCAGATGTTACTTCCGTGGAACGCAAAGCAGGGTTCTAATGGCATCATGTCACATCTAATAAAGCAATATCTAACAACGTATGTCTGGATACTGAAACTTCTAATGATTCTCAGAATCCAAATAAGTATTTCCTACACCGAACTTTTTACATGCAGTGCATTAACTAACTGCATAACTCCACAACGAGCAGAGTCTAGGTTTTCGCACTTCGCTAAACTTGTTAATAAATCCAGAGCCTTTTTAAGGTTCATTATGGCGTTCACAAGAGCCTGTGTTTCGACCCTATCCGCCAGACACTTCATTTCAGTCAACACCCTACTTGCCAACAGCATCCCCCCCGCCCACAACTAAGATCTTACGCAAGGGAATCTCCTTTCAGATTTTCCAGCTCACGTTTTGAACGCATTTCTCTACCCCATGCGTGCTACATGCACCTGCCATTTAATTCTCGCTGATTTAAACATTCCAATAAAACGTTTAACTAGCACAAATCACGAAACCCATCATCATGTAATTTCCTCCCCTTCGGATCCAAATATTATCCTCGTTCTCAAACACCCTCAAAGAGAAACATCTCCAAGCCACAAACAACAACCGGTAGAATTTTAGTCACCTATATTTAAATATCCAAGCTTTATTGGGAAATCAGTTCATGCAAAACAGAAGTCAGTTAGCTGTTTGTTGGTTCGTCACTTAAGTAGCATCAGCTTACCTAACTGGTAGACAGGTATCTATTATTTATTTATTTAGTGTTGTGTGTGACGACAGGTCAGGTCCATATGAACAGGATCCTTCTTCCATCCTTTTCTCGGACTGGGATCTGTTCATATACGTTCTTGGCAGATGATCCGGAAGTGGTTTGCCATTGCCTTCTTCTGTGTGTGAATGGAGTAATTGTTGGGATGCCACGGAGGAAAACTCCGTGTTGCCTAGACCACGGCCTTGCCCAACACAAGTTATAAATTCGAACCCGAGACCCCAGGATTACAAGGCCAGCGTTCTAACCGCTAGACCACCGTGGCTTGTCATCCAAGCTTTACAGGGTGAAAATGTTTAATGGATCTAAGGCCCAGGAGTGCCCCAAGCTGATACAGATTAATCCCTTCGTAGCCAAATGGTCTCTGTGGGCTGTACAGCGCATGTAGCAGATAGTAGCCAGCTCTGGACGATCTCATATCGTGGTGGACCACTTAACATCGATTTGCAGACGTTTATGTAACGGACGGACTGGTCTGGATTTTCTAAGGGTCACGTTTACAAACAATACGCATTCATCTACATTAGAATAGCCCGTGTCTGAACTAAATTAAAAATGACAGAACGTAGAATAAATATTCAATGAACCAGAGTTCAAATACAATTCGAAGCTTGCTAGGACGACCACAGAACCACCAAAAGGACATGGCATTAAACCATATTTCCATAATTTCCTCAGCCATGTCTGCCTGATGGTTCTTGCACCTAATAATACACTATGCAGTAATGCATTAAGCTAAGTAATTGATAATTACAAGACATGACGATAAGCGGAAAACAATAAAAAAATTGTAACGTCGCATTATTTCGGTTTCAGAATCTGATTTTAATGATATTTATTCATTGTTTCTTGCAGCTCAATAGCGTAGTCAGATGTTAAAACGTCCCACTTAATGTAGTTTAAGACGATTAATCTAATGTAATTACACACATTAAATAACCGTGCTGTATAGAAATCAATTAATTACGTCAGTAAGACCTATTTGAGAAACCTCCTGTCCAAGATCAGGTAGTTCTAGTCAACAAAATTAAGGACGGAAGACATAATGACAATCATAAAGTGTGTGACGCAATC